ATATCAATATAACTACAAAGAGCTCTTTATTAATAAAAAAGACAAAGAAACTCCTATAAAAACCTAGGCAAAAAAAAAAACATATGGTAAATCAGCGTTAAAGATACCTCTCATGTACAAAATAACAATTATGACATCCATTTCCATCTTAGGGCAAGAACCTATAAAATTAAATTCTAAATTTAATTGATAGAATCGTATGCTAGGCCTTGAATGTGGAGAAAAAGAGAACCAGGAATCTATTACTTTGAAAAATCTACCCAACTTTAGCATTGAACTTCTATTTTTTTGTTTTCTTAAATATGCATCACACTTTATCTCTCCAATTAATATTTAACTGTTTATGCATACATTTAACTTGTTTATCAATTACATTTCATCATACACACACTCAAAGGGTGATACAGTCACACATTTATAACTGCGAATAAAAAAATAAAATGACAGTTGGACGTTATAGAAAACAAACCAAGTAAAGTAAATTGTTAATCCTTGCATTAAACCATTTTCATCTAAATAAAAAAATATAAAAACAATGAATCTATGTGGTATAGAATATTGATGCCATTGATTTATCCAAAAATTAGTTTATCTTAGTTATTTTACAAATAATCAAACTATATGTTAAAACGAAGTAACCAATAAAATATTCCACTTTATGGTACATAACGATATTTATTATTATACTTTTTAATATTGATGTAAATTTTATGAGGTTGAAAATTGGTGCCATTGATATTTGAGAAAAATAATATAGAAAGATTAATGTATCTGAAAGAAAATGTTACAGATCTGTTATATAACCTGAGATTTTAAGGAAGCTTTTTGGGCCTTGGATCCCTATGCATTGCATTGCCTTGCTAGCTTTCAAATTCAGAAAAAAAATATTGTCTAAGGACCATAAGACAAAAAAACCAAGCGTTTTCAAAGATCGGTTATTAATCTAGTCAACTGATGTGTTTTAAACAGCTTTAGACATAGGCATATGTTTGACACATGTTGAATTCTTTTACATTGTTCAATACCAACATTCTTCTCATTGTCAACTGTGAAAAAAGAGATCTCACCTGTAACCAATATGTGGTTAAACTTTGTTTAATGTGCATTGTAGATAGGAAAAAGGCTGCAATCTTTTGTCAGTTACCACATTATCATATTTTTTGTAAAATGCTAATGAAAATGCCCATATAAGTAAGAAAAATAAGGACGAACTAACCTCAGAGGAATTATCATGAGAACCTGCATACTTCATTGAAAATGTCCATATTAGATGACGCAATATCCTTTTGTAGAACTTATAAGTCTGATTAATAATGTAACTTTTAGTAAGATGTTTAATTATAGGCAATGTTTTAATATAGTATCATGGATAATTGTTATGATGATCACAATAATCAAAATATATTAGATAGTTTTAAGTTGTGACACTAATTTTTTTCGGTACAAAATCATCAATATTTATATTCAATGGTTACACGTGCAATCTCTGAAGGTTAAAGATATACCATAAAAGATAGATATAACAAAAGTAAAGAAGTCTACATGGATAGTATAGTGATTGGTTTAGAAAGTTGAATTACAAGATGCAAAATGCAATTTTCTCTAGTCCCATGTAGTTGGGGGAAAAACCTACAATAGGTTTATCTTGTTTTAGTGGAGGATAAGGTATGGGTCAAGCCCACAAATGTGAATGGACGAGAGGTTCTTGGAATGATGTGATTTACTTTGCATTTTTGGGCGCCGAGAGTTGAGGAACTTTTAATTTTAGCAAAGTTTTGGTTTTGGTTGGATCGGGTTGGACCAATCCAATTAACGTGTGACTTCATACCGTGACGAGTGTACTCTGGCTCTTGCGGTTATTTTGGGTGTCTTCTAGGGTTTTTGCGGCTAAGATTATGGTTTCTTGGAGCTGTATTCCACACACCAGAGGCTGAGAATTCTCTCTACTCTCTTCTCTCCCTCTGTATTCTTCCGGTTTCCAAGTATTCATTTTGAATTTATCAGTTCTTCCATAGTTGGTGGAACGAAAGATAATCTGCATTAGATAATGGGGTTTTATGTTTTTGAAGCTTACAACAATCGATCAACGTAAAAACCTTTAAGGACATGAGCTTTTTTTTTTTTTGCCGTTTTAAAAGTCAAGAATTTATGATCTTTGGTTTTACTTTTTTCTGTCTCGTTTTAAAACTCGTCATATAATGGAACAACCTTTTTCTACTTAATCCTATTAGTTATTCAACTACTTCAACATAACTAAATCAACCTCCTACTTTTGACGTTGAATTATTTAGTGTGTATGTCTGTGTGCGTTACCCATATGTACCCCCTTATAACGGGAGGGATATAAAAATATGTTGGAGAAAGTTTATATCTTGTAAATATGGATGCCAATATACATACACATATCCCACTTGACTACGTTGTTTGTGAACATACAACGGCATGTACATATAGTGTCAACGTGGTCACTTGACCAACATAATTCTTTTACAAGCAATATATAAAATTTATTTGTGACCTATCTTAATTTGTTTGACAAAAAAGTTAAATACAAGAGTTTTAAAGCCCACCTTTTATATCTCTATAGCCGAAATACCTAATTACAGATTAAGAAATAATCTTATATAATTTTTAAGTGATATATTTGTGTCATATACAAAAAAAAATGAGTGATTAATTTTTAAGTGATAGTTTAATGTTATATCTTGAAGAAAAATGTTTTAGATAGTATTAGTAATAATACAATGGTAAAAATATTTCATGATATTAGTATTCGGTCGGATATAACCGTAAGAACTTTAAATCTTTTTGGTTTACTTATACGATCCGACCCCCTATTACTATTTTTTGACTATTTGGTTTCTATATATAAGTTTCATTTAAATAGCGAATCACATAGGTTTTTATTCTAGACTTTCCATATGAAAATATGTATGCAGTTCATTGTTAAGTGTTCCACTACTTGTTGTCGTCAAACCATATGTTGCTACTAGTCAACTTGCTGTGAAAGAGTCAGCTATGTACTTTGGTACTCCCTCTAATGACGAAACCAAGGTTGTGAAGATCATGATCATACGTAGGATCGTTTTCGGTTTTACAAAATCAGGATCGTAAGATCGATATCGACATCCTAAAACCCACCGAAAATGACATAATTATAAGTTTAAATCACGCAAAATTCACATTCATCAACCAATTTACAGTATACCGCTCTTGATAAGAAGCATAATCAATAAGGGTAAGAAGCAATATCAATCGGTTTACGGTTCAGAAAATAGGTATTGAATAAGGTTATTATTGATTGACATGTGGGTAAGGTGATTGGATTAATTAGTAAATGGGTAAAGAAATGAGAATTCAGATTAAAATTTGTCAATTTTCATAGAGTGATAGGATTGGATCGGATCCCGTTCCTACGATCCATATGCGATCTTACATATAAAGTGATCGAATTATGATCCGACGTGAATTTTATTGGTAGGATCTTAAAATCTTATAATCCTATAATCAGAATCGGGATCTTGACAACCTTGGATAAAATATAATCTTGAACTTCTTGTTAGACTTTAAGTTATGTTTTATGAAATATTGCCGGTGTCTACTTTTTAAAATTAGAATAGGATCGCTAAGTTCTTGTGTAGTATACGAAGGTGCTTATAATGCAATTTTAGCTCGCGAACTATTGTTGTTTGTTATTAGTTTTGGGACACGTGTTGTTTTTATTATCGATATACTTTTGTTACGATTGATATCATTTTCTTTCAAGAGCTCTTTTAATGAATTCATATGCATAAAACTAGGTTAAAACTCGTGTGCTACACAGGTGATAAATTAACATAACCTAGATTTTAGAAATAAAAATTTAAGAAATAGCAACATAATTTCATTTGTCTAATTTTGAATGCATGATTTAATGAAAACTAAAAAATCAAATAGAAATGTAGTGCATTGTTATTTCTTGTTATTTCTGACTATATAAGAAACTTCATCATACCTATCTATTACCCATGTTTTACTAAAAGTAGTAACACATATCAATATAACTACAAAGAGCTCTTTATTAATAAAAAAGACAAAGAAACTCCTATAAAAACCTAGGCAAAAAAAAACATATGGTAAATCAGCGTTAAAGCAACCTCTCATGTACAAAATAACAATTATGACATCCATTTCCATCTTAGGGCAAGAACCTATAAAATTAAATTCTAAATTTAATTGATAGAATCGTATGCTAGGCCTTGAATGTGGAGAAAAAGAGAACCAGGAATCTATTACTTTGAAAAATCTACCCAACTTTAGCATTGAACTTCTATTTTTTTGTTTTCTTAAATATGCATCACACTTTATCTCTCCAATTAATATTTAACTGTTTATGCATACATTTAACTTGTTTATCAATTACATTTCATCATACACACACTCAAAGGGTGATACAGTCACACATTTATAACTGCGAATAAAAAAATAAAATGACAGTTGGACGTTATAGAAAACAAACCAAGTAAAGTAAATTGTTAATCCTTGCATTAAACCATTTTCATCTAAATAAAAAAATATAAAAACAATGAATCTATGTGGTATAGAATATTGATGCCATTGATTTATCCAAAAATTAGTTTATCTTAGTTATTTTACAAATAATCAAACTATATGTTAAAACGAAGTAACCAATAAAATATTCCACTTTATGGTACATAACGATATTTATTATTATACTTTTTAATATTGATGTAAATTTTATGAGGTTGAAAATTGGTGCCATTGATATTTGAGAAAAATAATATAGAAAGATTAATGTATCTGAAAGAAAATGTTACAGATCTGTTATATAACCTGAGATTTTAAGGAAGCTTTTTGGGCCTTGGATCCCTATGCATTGCATTGCCTTGCTAGCTTTCAAATTCAGAAAAAAAATATTGTCTAAGGACCATAAGACAAAAAAACCAAGCGTTTTCAATGATCGGTTATTAATCTAGTCAACTGATGTGTTTTAAACAGCTTTAGACATAGGCATATGTTTGACACATGTTGAATTCTTTTACATTGTTCAATACCAACATTCTTCTCATTGTCAACTGTGAAAAAAGAGATCTCACCTGTAACCAATATGTGGTTAAACTTTGTTTAATGTGCATTGTAGATAGGAAAAAGGCTGCAATCTTTTGTCAGTTACCACATTATCATATTTTTTGTAAAATGCTAATGAAAATGCCCATATAAGTAAGAAAAATAAGGACGAACTAACCTCAGAGGAATTATCATGAGAACCTGCATACTTCATTGAAGCCTACACTAATCAAGAAAGAAATAAAAAATTTATTAAAAAATAAAAAGTAAAAAAGAATCAAGAACAATAATAATTAACAAAAACCAAACTCCCCCTTTCTTGAAAGAAGCTCCACAAGGCTTGGATGAACAACAAACGGCTTTTTACCATTAATGTCTAAAGTATATGCATTAGGCACTAGACTTCGCCTCACATAAAAATCAAGAGCTTCAATTTCCAGTGCTTCTACTACTACCTGTACCATTAATCACTAACTGATGAAGTTTTAAAACCTAAAAAAAACATAAACAATTTTGACCTATTAATTATATTATGTCTCATGCATCTGCAAGACAAGTCCTTTTAATTTATATATTAGCCAAAAAAGTGGCAGTTTATAAGATATAGAGAGATCCTTACCAAGAACTATCCGTCTTTAGAAGCTACCAAACATTTAAAACACCTAATATAACCCAATACAAAAGAGGCTCTTATAACTTTTTTCTTAGAAAACAGTAACTAAAACATGACCAAGAACCAACTAAATTAAAAATATTACCTTCTCTTGGGCATTTCGACAAACACTTTATGTGCACTTTCTTTGAGCATGTTAAGAGCTTCTACAATCCAATTTTAGAGTCCTTCCCATGAAATCCTCCCCTAGCAACCTCTATAACTCAATTGAAATACACCCATTTTGAAAAATAATTGATATAACATAAAATCATTTAAGAAAAAGAAATTTAGTAAATATTAAGCTTGAAAAGCTCCAACAAACAACCCAAATCAAACCAGTTAGAAAACAATGAGCAAACGTGTGTGTTGAAGGACATAGAGATAGAGATCGTTAATCTTGGGGGGATGGTTTTTAGAGATAAGGGAAGCCATACCGTGAGAATGTGGGAATCGGCAGAACGAAATGAAGAGATTGTGCAAGAACCAACAATTGCATAATGGTGTTTGATATGTGGTTCTCAGAAAGCATTATCTATCTGATGCTGGTCACAATGTTGGTGTATGATGGTACTCTGCCTGCAAAAACTGAATCCAAAGAGAACAGTGGAAGAAGATGAGAATCGAGCTATATGTAAATACCCCCAAATCAATTACGTGTAATGTCGAATCTCAAAGAAGCAAAATCGTGAAGGGTAAATTGGTTTGCATATATTTATAGGCAAAAAGACATGGGCATCATCACAGTGAAAGGAAGATTGAACAAACTACATGGGTGGGTGTCGTCCATCTGTTTGGTCGATTCCTAGTCATCGTTGATCACAGAGATTACAACAACCATTCATTTCCCACTGAATCTCTAAGGATGTTCATCCTATAAATAGCTTTACATGGGTACAGAGTTCCGATTCAATCAAATTACAATCAAATTAATGATTCAATCTACTATCATAGTTCCGAAATTATAATTCAAATGTAAAAAAAACTTAGAAATTTGTGAAAACATGAATTAAAACATACCTTGGATAGATTTCCTTCGAACGGAAAAACGTTTTTAATTTATCTGTGGTCCATATTATCGTAGGCTTAAGCAATTGAAGCAAATGTTGAAATGACTTAAGCAATTAGAATGAAATCGAACTCTTATATAGAGAGCCGCCGGCAAGGGAAGTTACATAACTGTGGAAGAGAATCGTGCTATGTGGAAGAAGAAAGAGGAACGTGGGTAGAACGAGGTGAAAATGGTTGAACCTCCGATTAACCGTAATTCTTGAGTTATTATGGATGAGATTGAAAGAAGAGGGAGTTTTAACGGCCGGGACGAAGGAGACGGTTTTTCCACTCACCGATCGTCAATATAATTTGATGCTTGGATTATTGGGATTGACGTTCAAATTCAAATTCAAAAAAGAAGATAATCTTAAATCGGACGAAGAAGACGAAATGCAGGAAGATTATAATAGATAAGGGTAACTTCGGAAATTCACTTTGATACGTAGAGCGATGATAAAATGACACGTAGGATAAATTATACTGTTTTATTAGAATAGGGGATAGTAATATTACAGTAGTTGTTTGTGGCGGATCGGCATGGGAGTACGTTAATGATCGTTAGGAGTATTTTCCAATTCGTTTCAGAGTAATCAAAATTTCTATTTGTATTTCGTTATAACTTATTATGGTTGATTAGTTTGGTGGCAAGAGCACTACAATAGTAGATAATCAAATACGATATCCTACAAATATCTCACAGTCGGCACTATTGCCTTTTGCCTATATAAATAACTTCAATTTTGATTTTGGTCCATTGTTGCAAGTCTTTTTCGAGATGATTAATAATTTTAATTTTGGTCCATTGTCGTAATTTTTTACCGCAAATTGTTATAATTAATATTATGATTGGATTTTTGTTATCATTAAGGGATAATGTCAATGTAGCACATGAAACTTTTAACATTTGGCTAATTTGGTCCTTAAAGTTTTTTTTTGTACATTAGACCAGTAAACTCGTAATTGACCTTTTAATTACACCATTTTAGCAACTTTTAGAAGGTTTCCCGGTTATACCATGCCATTTTTTCAATTAATATATATTTTTTGTCTAATCCGATGCCACGTGAGATATGCCACGTCAATTAATGAAATACGACGCTTAAAGCCTTTCGTCTTCGGCTATCGAACTTCACTAGTCTTCGTCTTCATTATTCAGCTGTAAAAAAAACTGATTTAGGGTTTGTGAAGCATTCTTGTGATCGAGCTGAAAGAAACAAAGAACTCGCAGCAATGGCACAATCGGAACCTAATGGACTGTTTGCGATGGTGGAACTCAACTACCAAGGGGTATTTAATCGAAATCCTTTCTCTTACACTGGTGGTGTTAAAACCATCTTCAATGATGTTGACTTTTCTTCTATGACTTATTCTGAGTTTGTGACCTTCTGCGAACGTTTCATGCATGAAGAGTGTAAAAAGTTTTACTACTGTGAACCAGACATGTCCTTCATGGAAGGGCTTAATCCCATTTCAGATGATGTGGAATATTCTGCTTTTATTTTTGATGCTTATGGAACAGATGGTGTAATTTCGGTTTATGTGGATCATATTGGGGTTGGTGTTGATGGGTGGCATGATGATGAAGATAATGATGATGATGAACATGAGTCTTGTATTGATGGTGAAAATGAAGACAACATAGATGAACTTAGAAATGTTGCCTTTGAATTTAATGAGGATGTAGTGCATATGAATAGGACATCAAATGATCCTTTCTTGAGTAAGCTATGTGTTGATGATGAGGATGCAAACAACATTGTAGATGATGACAATGGGAGAGAAGTTGAAGTTAACATACAAACTCATTCCATATTTAATGAGCTATTACACTGGAAAAAACAAAAACCAATTCTAGGGATGAGATTTAAGGGTCCAGGGCAAGTAAAATCAATGTTGTGTAACTATGCTGTAGCTAATGGATATCAATTGTGTTTTGAAAAAAATGATAGGACAAGACTTTTGGTGAGGTGTAGCAAAGGTGCTTGCACATTTAGATTATGGGCTTCCTGGATGAGTGATGAAGAGAGTTTCCAAATCAAGTCACTAAAAGATGATCATAATTGTGCTAGGAACTTCAAGTTTGGATCATTGGTGACATATACATGGATTGGGAGTCACTATACCAAAGAGATTGTAGAAAGTCAGAAAATAAGTGTAAGGAAGCTTAGGTTAAAGGTAATGGCCAAGTTTGGTATCCAAGTTAGTATGGGGCAATGTAGAAGAGCAAAGAAGTATGTACTGAAACTTGTTGAAGGTAACCTTGTTGAACATTATGGTAAGCTATGGTCATATGGTCATGAGATTTTAAGGACAAATCCTGGGTCAACTGTGAAACTAGATATGGAGGATGGTCCAGATGGAAAGAAATATTTTAGCAAGTTCTATTGTTGTTTTCAAGGAGTTAAACAAGGTTGGATTGAAGGGTGTAGAAGGGTAATTGGTCTTGATGGATGTTTTCTTAAAGGTGTTTGTAAGGGAGAATTGCTTTGTGCTATTGGGAGGGATGCAAATGACAAGATATATCCTATTGCTTGGGCAGTGGTTAATGTGGAGAACAAGCAGAATTGGAAGTGGTTTCTAGAGCTTCTCATTGATGACCTACACTTGAATTTAGGCAACGGTTTCAGTTTAATGTCAGACCAACATAAGGTTAGTATTTTACATAGTAATGCATTTATGTTAATTTTAGACTATCTGAATTAAACCTTTTTACTACTACAGGGTTTGATAGAGGCTGTTAAAGAGTTGCTGCCATATGTAGAGCACAGGCAGTGTGCTAGACATATTTGCCAGAATTTGCAGAAGAGATTTACTGGTGCCATATATCATACCTTGTTTTGGAGAGCATCTAAAGCCACAACTGAGCATGCTTTTAAAGTTGTGATGAAAGAAATTGAGACATTGAACCCAGATGCCCATCAATATCTCATGGAGAAAGATCCTAAAACATGGTCTAGAGCTTTCTTTCAAACTGGAAGGTGTTGTGATGCAGTTGAAAATGGGTTCTCGGAAAGTTTTAATGCTGTAATAGTAGACGCTAGGAAGAAGCCCATAATAACCATGTTAGAGGAGATCAGATTATACATGATGGACACAATCTACAACATGAAATTAAAGGGACAACAATGGGGAAATCATATTTGTCCAGAGATAAGGGATAAGGTGAATTTGCTTAAAAAAGCTCAAAGGCATTATCAGGTACTACCAAGTGGATTAAACCAGTTTGAGGTAAGGGGAGCAATAGATGCATATGAGGTGGACTTAGAAAGAAAAACATGCTCATGTAGGTTGTGGCAATTGAATGGATATGGATGTGCTCATTCTGTAGCTAGCATATCCTTTCTTAATAGGGATGTAGAAGCCTATGTAGACAACATGTTTAGCACAACCACATTTAGGAAGGCATACAATTACAGAATTGCTCCCATGAATAGCAGTGACATGTGGCCAGAGACAAACTATAATCCACCATTGCCTCCTATTAATAGAAGGATGCCTGGTAGGCCAATTACTAAGAGGAAGAAATCCACTACAGAGAATACAGGAACACACAGGGTTTCGAAGGTTGGAAAGAAAATCAGATGTAGTATTTTCAAGGAGATAGGTCACAACAAGGCCACTTGTCCACAGAGAAGGCCCCAAAAGTTAAATGTGAAGAAACAGAAGAAACAAAAAGTATGTGTGAACCAAAATGCAGGACAGGTAAAACAATTTAAAATATAAGATTAATTACATATAATTTGTTACTAACATAATTATATCATGCCATGTAGGGTAGTACAAGTGAACCACAACAACATGAAGAGGTTGAAATGACTCCAATTGAGATGGATACTACTCAAAATGATATGCAAGTTGCTCCTACTGATGTTGAATCTAGTAGTGCAGGGGATTTTAGTCATTGTATGCAATTTACTCCACCTAGATGTTATGAAGGTGATGAGGGTGTTATGAGTGAGGAAGCTGATGTGGTTGAGGAAGCTGTTGTGGTTGAGCAAGTTGTTTAAGATGAGGAGGCTGAGGAGGTTGATCCTGTTATCCAAGTTGATAATGTAAATGTTCAGGAGGTTGATGAGGTTAATCCTAATGCCCAAGTGGATAATGGTAATGTTCAGGAGGTTGCTCCTGTTAACCAAGTTCAGCAGGTTTGTGTTAGGCCAATTTCAGATATTTTGAAGAGGATAAGGAGAAGAAAGTCAGAGAGAATATTGAAGCTGAAATTAGGCAAAACAATTGGTGGTGTTGATGATCCAGGAAATTCGAAGGGAAAAGCTCTTGTAATTGATTAGTGTTTATTGTAATTTGTGTTTAAAGTTTATGTAATGGGATGATGGTAAATTGGATTTAAAGTTTATGTAATAGGATGATGGTAATTTATATTTAAAGTTTATGTAATAGGATGTTGGTAATTTATATTTAAGTATGTATGACATTAAAGGGTATTTTGGTCATTTAAGTATGTATGAAAGAAAAAGGGTATTTTGGTCATTTAAGTATTTATGAAAGAAAAGGGTATGTTGGTCATTTATTTATTGATGATAGATAAGGGTATGTAGGTCATTCATTTATGTATGCAAGAAAAGGGTAATTTGGTCATTTAAGTATGTATGACAGAAAAGAGTATTTTGGTCATTTAAGTATGTATGACAGAAAAGGGTAATTTGGTCATTTAAGTATGTATGACAGAAAAGGGTATTTTGGTCATTTAAGTATGTATGACAGAAAAGGGCAATTTGGTCATTTAAGTATGTATGACAGAAAAGGGTATGTTGGTCATTTATTTATGTATGACCGAAAAGGGTATGTTGGTCATTTATTTATGTATGACATGAAGTATGAAAGTATGTTACCATTTTAAGTAAAATCATGACATTTGGCTTTGAATATTTATGCATGGAAAAAATTGGAATAATGTGCATGCATGGGGATGTTTTATATGGCCCCGAATATGGTTTTTTAATGGCTTCACAGGTCCCATTTTTTCATTATTAAAACACTCACTGACTACAAATGGTCCCCCATACACATAGTGTACTTCCACATGGACCACTTCCTAATTAAATATATTTGTTGGGAATATAGACCATGCATATGTTTGATAAACATCATCTGATTATACAAAATGCCCTACAATTGGGACTTTGAATATTTTTTTACATTACTTATCATATGCCCTTTCATTAGGGACTTACCACCTTACAACATCAACACATTAAGGTTGATAACCCCAACTTATAACTAAAACTAGCTTCAATACATACAAAATGCCCCTTATGGAACTGATTTTCTAGTCTGCCTTTACAAAAAATACAAGGGATCCCAAAAAAACAAAAGCTTACACTAACCAACCAAACTAACTACATTGAGCCCCCTAACTTCAAAACACATAGGGCCAAGCAAGCAAACAATAGGGCAACTATCATCCTGTACCTGCCTATTGCCTTCCTTGCATCATGAACTTCTTTCTCACTCTTTGCCACCTTATACTGCTCCTGTGACAGCAGAAACTCCACTTCAGCAATCCTTCTCCTCAATTTGTTCATCTCAGACATTTCATCTTTGGCATCCAGTTTCTACTTCAGAGAATATAGCAGGTTTTTGTAGTACCCGTCTGCCACCCGTCTGCCTGTTCTTCATCTTTCCATTCAAAGAAGCTACATTTCCTCAACCTAGTCTATAAAAAGCCAATAAAATTAGGGTTTGACTGACAATCACAAATCAACTACCTTTAATGTACCAGCGAAATGGGTTTTATTCACAGTAATCGTCAAGAAGGAAATAAAATTAGGGTTTTTAACAGATGAAACAAAATACAAATACACCATTATCGTCTTTACAGAAAGAAACAACACATCAAACCATAAAATACTAACTTATCAAAATCAAGAGAATTGGGACCTACCATACTGTTTTGACAATTCCAGAATCACCTCCCAGGGTTTGTTATCTTCCAACAGGTTCGTTCTTTAGCTGGAACGACACAATCACAAACCTTTACCCCTTCTTGCGACTGAACATGAGTGACTTGTAGCTGATTCCTTGACGTCGATGAGCTCGAAGACATTCTTCTTCAGGATGGAAATAGTCGGGGAGGGAGAAGTCTTTGACTTTTCAGAGAAGGGTAAGTAAAGATTGAAAGGAGGTCCGAATGAGGGTTTCAATTAATAAGCCTATATCGACAACTGGACTACTTCGACACATAAGCTTCCCACGTAAGCTTATTGGACACATCAACGTGCCACATAAGCATTGTAACCGGGAAACCTTCTAAAATGGTGTAATTAAAAGGTCAATTACGAGTTTACTGGTCTAATGTACCAAAAAAAACTTTAAGGACCAAATTAGCCAAATGTTAAAAGTTCCATGTGCTATAGTGACATTATCCCTATCATTAACTAACACATGTTTCAAATTTAAATGACAATTGTTCAAAAATTGACCCCTTTTAGAGCCTAACAAATGAGCTAGACTACTTCCAATAAACCCACAATTAAACTATTTCCAGACAAACATGTGTGATGTGTCGATCCTAAACTTTCTCATGCACTCAACATGAGTACTTAGATTTGGTTTGAAATCCAAACACTGAACTATTAGTGTATATCGTATATTAGCCCATATTAGTTAGCCCAAACTATTACGTGAATAGAATGGAAGGCTTGAGAGATTATCCACCCTGATATGGTATCACAGACAAACTAGCAATCTAAACCCTAATGACCCCCCCCCCCCCCCCCCCCCCCCCCCCCCCGACTGCCATCTTCTTCGGCGCCGACTGCACTCTCTACTACTCTCTTTCTTCACAACAAAAAACCTTACCTTTAGCGAAGACAAATAACATCACAATTGATGCCTTGTTGTCGCTAAAGGGTTGCCAATATTACCTCGTAGCTAATACTCAAATGTTGTCGCAATTGGTGTCGTCTCTAACAGATGTTGTTGCTAAAAGCCCCGTTCGTCGTTATTAGTGTCGCCTCTATTAATTTTCCGGCCAACAGTCGGAGTTTTTCCGGCAAAGCTTCCTGGAGGCAGGTGTCATCGCAATTGATGCATGTTGTCACAAAAGTTGTCGCAACTATTTTTTTAAAACAATTTACATATGATATAAGTTTATATATATTATAAAATGCAGATTTTTTAAAAATACATAATCACAATCTACAAATCTACATTACATAAAACATCAAATAACATAAAACAATACATACCGCATTACATAAAACATCAAATATATCACATTACATAAACAATCTAATAAACAAGAAATACTAGTCAATATCATCCATAAAACTATGTGATAAATCCAAAATAACATCATCTATAACATAAAACAAAAAATATTAGGCATATATACTTTTGACCACAAAAACCTAAATCATATACAAAAAACTGCAAAATCACCATATATTCACATTCACATTCACTTAGATATACATTTTACATTCACTAGATATACATATTTATGCATTTAATATAAACACACACATATATTCACATTCACCATACACTAACAAATACAAACACATGCATATATAGTACACTGACGAAGAATTACACCTGTGGCCGGAGAAATGAAAAAATCTGACGGTGGTGCTGTGATGGTGGTGATCGCCGGAAAGCAACCATGTTGTGGTGGTGGTGCTATGGTGGTTTTAATGGTCCTTATAACATCAAAATTCATGAAATTAGGTTCGAAATTAGGGCAAGAAGAGAAATATAGAAAGAGAAATGAGGGATATCGAGTATGTTACCGTCACCGGAGATGGCCGGAGAAGTTGATTTTTTTGTCGTACAACGTTGAGTGATGACAATCTGGCAAGCTGAGTGGGAGTGGAGAGAAATGGCGCCGCCGGTGAAGTGAGTGGTAGATGAATCGGTGACAATCATCGCACTTTGTCGGTGAACTCGTCTAGTCGCCAAAGAAATATGTAGAGAGAATGGCAGTGGGTAGCAACTATTCTGGGAAGAACGAAGGAAAAAAAAGGAGCGACACCTTTAGCGGCGACCATAGGGCAATAGTGACGACGGCTTGGAGAGAAAAAGACGCGCCATTTCTACATGAGTGTAAGTTGTTAGATCAGGTTAAAACGTAGGGTCAAGATCTCTTCTATGGTGGTCACACAACATTAGCAGTGACATGTCGTCATCCCTATTGCTTCATGAGAGTTTATACCCTAACCGATAGATCATTTTAAAACTGAATGGTCATGATGCAATTTCATGTGGGATGATCGGATCGCCCGTGGGAGGCTATTAGCAACGCCACTATTAGCGACGCCAATAATCTACGACACAAACTTTTAGCGACGACAAAAACAGAGTTTGTCGGATGTGATCGCTAAAAGCGTGTGTCGTCGCTAATAGTGGCATCGTTAATAGCCTTGCTTCTTGTTGTGCTTCTTCTTCCTTGGCCCTCTTTAATGGCTAGCGACGATATCCTCCCTCCTACAGAAAATCTCAAGCCGTATAGCATCATAAATATCAAAGCGGATGTCTCGCTCATCCTCGATTTAAGTCAACTGAATTATGATGCTTGGAAAGTACTCTTTCCCACTCACTGCAAAGAATATGGAGTCGTCGGGCATCTCGACGACACCTTCGTCCCCAAAGGTGAGAACGATGAGGAATTGGAAAATCTCGATTCCCTGGTATCCACGTGGATCTATGGCACTCTCACTAACCATTGATCAACATGGTTCTCAAAAACGACTTAAAAGCAACCGATGGCCTGTTACTCAGGATTCTCGATTATTTTGTTTCTTGATGTTAGCAATGTATAGCGGTCAAATATGATCATTTTCTTCTCGGGACCTTTTACCCTTTTTCATCATGTGGGAATTAGAATTAATTTCGATTTATCTACTTCTATCCATGTAGGGAGGAAAAAAACATCTCTACTCAGCCACAAAATTTATTTTGTACACGGCGGGAGGTTCCATTTTTCTCTTAATGGGAGTTCTGGGCGTTGGTTTATATGTATCTAATGAACCAACATTAAATTTTGAAACACCAGTGAACCAGTCTTATCCTATGGCTTTGGAAATAATATTATATATTTTTGAAAAACGCTTGAAGATTATTTCGAGACAATAAAGATGTTAGGGCTATCGAACTCAAAAACGAACTTCGGAACTCAACTCTTGGTTATCGAACCGTTGTTGAATTTTTCTCCAAACTTAGTGCCATATCGAATCTCTTAGCTAACAATGGCTTCCCGGTTCCCGAAAAGACTTTGGTTACCCACATTCTCAACGGATTGGGACCAAAGTTTGACAACATTGTCACACTTATTCGCAATCGGGACCCGTTGCCAAGTTTCAACTAAGCTCGCTCCATGCTCACTCTTGAAGAAACACATCTTAATCACAACCGACCATCACAACCAACCCACTCGGATCAATCTTCCGCTCTATAAGTCCTCTACTCTGATCAAAGTGTTTCTCCTCCTCGCTCCAGTGGAAACTAGCCTCGTGGCAACAACAACAACCAAAACAGCAACAATGTTAGCAACAGGTGGGACGAAAAAAAGGAACATTTGAAGCAAGATGAAGTTAAAGAAATATCGACAAGAATTCAAATAACAATTGGCATATATGTTAAACATATAATCATTCAACGTCCTTCACTTTCAGTAGGAAGGGTAGGAGGTGGATATAGAGGTTTTTGCTTATGGCGATGTTCGGCGGGTAAACCTGTAGCCTTCATTTTAGGAACACAAACAAGCCCTAGCATTTTGGTTAAGTTAGTTAGGTTAAAATATTATATTTAGTGGACTATTGTATTTGATTTAATATAGTATACGATGTCTTTGCAAAACTAGCTATACCGGCTTTCCGCTACCGCTAAAAGCTGATAATTTGTAGCTGGAAGCTATAACTTTTATCTATACAAAAGTATTTTATAAAAGTAGTTGTTATCTTTTAAATACGTAAAATCAATTAAAAACTAAAAACTAAAAGCAACTTAAAGTGATTTTTGGATTCATAATTAAAAAAAAAAAAAAGCACCTTCTGCTAAATGACTTTTTATTTTTCGAGTTTTTTTTAAAAGTTTCATGTCAAACAGTCAATAGTTCTCATTAGTACGATGACAACATTTGGCAATAGTGTTTTATCATATATAATTGGTTGAAGACAGCTATGAAAATCTTTATACGCTTGTTTCATGTGGTTTTAAAAATATTTTCTGTTTGGTCATTTACCAATATACAAAGATTTTTTTTTTTTTTTTTATCTTTTTAAGTTATTTTATACTATTATATATGTTTTTTTAATTTTTATATTAAAAAATTAACAAAAAAGGGCACTCTCTCGTTTAACACAATTACAAACAACCTACTAATTTCATTCGCCATTTCAATGCCCTTAATGGTTTTATCCTCCCAATTCTCAAGAATGTTGATTTTGATAACCCAGTTGGATTTTGGAAGATCATTTAAGGGGTTCGATTGGTGAATAGGGTGAAGAATGTGAACATAGGGTTTGAATAACCCAATTAATATTTGGCTTTCTTTACCGGGACGAATAATAAAAAGGTTGCAGATAGGAAACTA